TGGATTGAATGAAAAAATAAACTAGTAGTGTGTACTAGGCTTTAGGGTTTTATGTACACCAATTTCTAGTAAAAATAATTGGAGATGGGACATGGACTTAATTTGAATCTGACTGCTACTGACACTTTGACACTTTTCTATAGCTATGCGGTGGTTACATTGTGTGATATCTTATATACAAATAGTTTTTTTTAGTACACAAAGCAACCCAGCAGGCCATACACAACTAGATCAAGGGATATTATTCTGCAGGTTTATTATGTGTTTACATTATTTATTTCTCCTACCCCGAGTTGTTTTCTAGAAATGTACTAGCAGCACCACAGCCCATCTGCAATTAGCATTAGTGTGTTATTATGAGAGTTGCTGTAGATTCCCTAGATGCCTGTCAAGCACACCTAGGAGAGATGGTGTGAGCTTTGTCAGGACTTACGTGCTGTTGCATCATTATCTGTACAGAGATTATTGCTTAAAGAGACCCTGTCACTAGCTAAAATATACAAAAAGAGAGTACCCTGAAAAGAAGGGGTTAATACTTACCTTTCACATGATGTGGTCTTCTGATCTTTACTCTGTGGCAGAACTATGGTGGCTAAAGTATCTTCAGCGTGTAACACTTCCAGGAATGTAGGATGTGGTTCCATTAACTTTCATTAGGATGTGGTTCAATTAAATGGGCTCCACGTCACTACAGGACACATTAGTGATGTAGGGACAGACAGGAAGAACCACAACCTGCTTGACTGCTGACCAGAGCAGGCCCTTATACCATGCTAGAGAAATCTGTTTCAGGATACCTGTTCTGAATCCAGTTTTCTCCCAGCTCTCACCTGCACAAGCCCTGAGGAATGCAACTGATACATCCCCCCAAATGCTTTGGATATCTTTTTTACTGTCATGATGTATAAAAGTCAAACTGAACTGTCAACCATATATTTAAAGTTGCTGCCCATATATGGATCAAAATTGGCTGGTTCAGCAGGGTCTGGCCAAATTTCAATTCATCTCCATTCCCACTCGACAGAAGTTGATCTAATGATTGACTTGTAAGCGGGTTGAAATGAGCTAGATGAGTGCTGCACCAGACAGGAGGGTAGGGGTTAATGTCTTTCCTGGCTCTTTGGCTTCTGGCAGGATCTTTGGGCCAGATCCACTGCATCTGTGCATAAAGGTGGACAGTGGGCCTAGTCCGAGAACCATCATTGCTGTTGCCATTGTTTAGCCTTGGTTCTTTTCCATGGCTCTGCCCATCTCCTCGGTTTCCCGAAGAGAGCTGCACCTTGAAGTGGTACAAGGAAGAGACCATCTATTGTCCAGATGTGAAGACTTCTGAACTTGGGGTTCTCCTTGAAGATACCAGCCACTGGAGAATGCCTGTGATGGACTCTGTAATTACATGGACTCTACCTCTGCAGGTATGCCGGGGCAACACATAGCCTGGTTAGGAGTAGGGATTAAGGAATTAGGAAGAGACTGTTTCTATGGGACTGTTACGGATCCGCCAGGTGGCACCTCTGGCAGCCCACTAGGCGGAATCACCTGGAGCGTGGGGTCTAAGTCCCGGTCTGCGTTTTCACCAGGGCCCCTGATGGTGGGGATGGACTTGGAGCAGAACCAGGACCAGGTCACGACCTCCGAGCAATACCACCCGTGGCAGAGGGAGCCTCCGGGGATAGAAGTAGGACAGAGTAGAGTCAGATGTGAGGAGGCCGGCAGGACCTGGCAGGATAAACCGGCGGTTGTCACCGTGGGAAATGGCGTGGTACCGAGACAGTAGGCAGAGAGTGGTCAGGTCGCACGCAGGGTCAGTTACCGGGGTCAGTCCGCAGAATGGTCAAACAAGCCGGGGGTCGGGACAGGAGAAGGCAGCGTAGTCAGGGACAATCCGAGTCAATCACAGGAGAAGGCAGCGTAGTCAGGGACAATCCGGGTCAATCACAGGAGAAGGCAGCGTAGTCAGATAATCTGGGTCAGGGCAGGAGCAGGCAGAACGTCAAACAATCCGGGTCACAATCACAGGAAACACAGGTATCAGATCAGACCTTGCGGCGATTTGTGACAGTGCAGGGCATCTTTAAATATCGCGCCCTGCACTGCCATTGGCCGCCCAGGACGCGCCCCCGGGCTGTCATTGGTCGCCCGAGGCGCGCCCGCGGCTCCTACTGCGCATGCACCGGGGACGGAGCTGTGGCGGACCCTGACAGGGACTATTCTATTTACATTTTGGATCTTTTGTAAAGCGTTGAAACTTAGCCTTCTTGCCTGGTCTGAAGTTAGTAAAAAGGGGTGCATTAGTATTAACTGGCACTATCACACACTTTGTCTACAGTTTGGGTCACTTTCACATGGTGTATGAAGAGTTAACATGTTAAGAGTCACCTTAATGCAAGTTATACATGTAGTTGCCTTGAGCAATGGAAGGTACAGTCAGCAAGCATCCTGTCATAAATGTGGGCCTGTTATAGGTGGTATTGCTGCTAGCCGCAAGGGAGATGTTGTCGGCACTCCCTACACAGCATTCCATCACCCATAGCAACCAGGATGGAACTGCGCTACAGAGGTCCCCATCCTGTACAGAGTTAAGGTCAAGTGCAGGTTTGGAGTCCGCACTATATGTACGGCAGGGTTTCATGCTGCTACCAGGACCGGTAGTGGGAAACGCTGGACAGGTGGCTGTGGTCAGTGTTCAGCACGACCCACCTAAATGCTTGCTACAGTGGAGAGATGTACATTTACATGGGGAACAGAGTTAACTGTAGAACAGTTGTTGTGCAAATGTACACGTGCAGAGGCTGGCCTTAAGGTTGAATATTCCTGGATTGCAACCCCAGCCTTTTTCCAAGGCATTGGTGAAAACAGAACAGAGTAAAGGTACCCCATGTGTGTGAAATACATTGATCCTGTCTCAGGTGCCTAGCGTAGCCCAGAAGAACCCACCCCCGAGGGTAGGTCTCTCCGGTTTTCTAGACTTGGTGTCCAACGAGTCAATTGGAAAACATGGAGGACGTGACAAACAACCATCACACTACACTCCCTACAGACTTCTGTCAAACGGGACCGTTGGAGAATCTTTCTCAACCAGAAGCTTGCAGCCAATCAGCTACAGCTGTCGATCAATGTGTTCTGACAGCGGAGGAGTCCCACTGCCAGAATACAATGGCACAGCAGGGAGGATTTCTCCAGCTACTTGTGTGGATGGGGGAATCCATTAATTTGTTCTTTGATCAGCCCGCTGGCATCATAGATTGGCAACATGGGTATCAGGAGGGGTGAGCGTTAATCCTTTTCTTTGCAAGAATGCCTTTCATTTGGATATTTAAAAAGGTGACAGGATAACTTTAACTTACTTTATAAAATGCATCATACTCCTTTACGACCACAACATCGGGATGGTAATCTTTATATCAGCCATTAAATTTGTTATTGTAAATTAATCTCTCCAACAATAAGCAGACCAGTGGACGCTCTTAAGTTCATATTGATGTTGATGGCAACAGAATCATGGGATGCTGGCCTAGAAAGACGTAAAATATACCTAAATCCATGAACAAATATGTGTCCATTTACACCCGCCTACCTCCAATCCGATATGGGGGATTCCTCCATCCACCTCGCTTGTGTGGATGAAGTAATCTGTTCATTTTTATTTTCTGGATAAACCTGCTGGCTGAATGGAAAAAAAACTGTCTATGGCGACGCTTTACAAAATTAAAGAACACATAAAAGGGCTTGCAATGTTTTTTTTTTTTACACAGAGTGTGTATACAGTTGCAAGAAAAAGTATGTGAACCCCTAGGGATTACATGGAGTTTTGCATGAATTGGGCATAAAATGTGCTCTGAACGTCATCTAAGTCACAACAATAGAAGAACACAGTCTGCTGAACATAATACTACACAAATATTAGATGTTGCCATGGTTTAATTGCACATAACATGTAAACATTCACAGTGCAGGGAGGAAAAAGTATGTGAACCTTTGGACTTAATAACTGGTTGACCTTCCTTTGGCAGCAATAACCTCAATCAAACGTTTTCTGTAGTTGCAGATCAGACCTGCACAACGATCTGGAGTAATTTTGGACCACTCCTCTTCACAAAACTGTTTCAGTGTAGCAATATTCTTAGGATGTCTGGTGTGAATCGCTCTCTTAAGGTCATGCCACAGCATTTCAATCGGGTTGAGGTCAGGACTCTGACTGGGCCACTCCAGAAGGTGTATTCTGTGCCTGTTGCAGCCATTGTTTTGTTGAATTACTTGTATGCTTTGGGTCATTGTCCTGTTGCATCACCCATCCTCTGCGGAGCTTCAGTTGGCGGACAGATGGTTGTACGTTTTCCTGCAGAATGTCTTGATAAACTCTGGAATTCATTTTCCCATCAATGACAACAATCCGTCCAGGCCCTGAGGCAGCAAAGCAGCCCCAAACCATGTTGCTCCTTCCGCCATATATATATATATATATATATATATATATATATATTATATAAAAGGCGCCTACCTTTACACACACATGAACTTCCCAGCATCCCAGTCTTAGTCCGTAGGGTTCAGTATTGGGTTGGCCCACCCTTTGCAGCTACAACAGCTTCAACACTTCTGGGAAGGCTGTCCACAAGGTTTAGGAGTGTGTCTATGGGAAGGTTTGACCATTCTTCCAGAAGCGCATTTGTAAGGTCAAGCACTGATGTCGGACAAGAAGGCCTGGCTCGCAGTCCCTGCTCTAAATCATCGCAAAGTTCGTTCTATCAGGTTGAGGCCAGTTAAGTTCCTCCACCCCAAACTCACTCATCAATGTCTTTATGGACCTTGCTTTGTGCACTGGTATGCAGTCATGTTGGAATAGGAAGGGGCCATCCCCAAACTGTTCCCACAAAGTTGGGAGCATGAAATTGTCTTGGTTTGCTTACGCCTTAAGAGTTCCCTTCACTGGAACTAAGGGGCCAAGCTCAACCCCTGAAGAACAACCCCACACGATAATCCCCTCTCCACCAAACTTTACACATGGCTCAATGCAGTCAGGCAAGTACTGTTTTCTTGGCAACTGCCAAACCCAGACACGTCCATTGGATTTCCAGATAGAGAAGCGTGATTCGTCACTCTACAGAACAGGTCTCCACTGCTCTAGAGTCCAGTGGTGGCGTACTTTACACCACTGCATCTGACACTTTGCATTGCACTTGGTGATGTAAGGCTTAGATGCAGCTGTTTACCCATAGAAACCCATTCCATCAAGATCTCTACAGACTGTTGTTATGCTAATATGAAGGCCACACGAAGTCCGGAGGTCTTTAGCTATTGACTCTGCAGACAGTTGGAGACTTCTGCGCACGGTGCAGTTCAGCATGCGCTGACCCCCACTTTGTAATTTTACATGGCCTACCTCATCATGGCTGAGTTGCTGCTGTTCCCAGTTGCTTCCACTTATGCAGTTTTTGCACAAGTGACAACCTATCACGGTACCACGCTTGAATTCACTGAGCTCCTTAGAGCGAGCCATTCTTTCACAAATGTTTGTAGAAGCAGTCTGCATGTCTAGGTCAGTGATGGCGAACCTTTTTGAGCCTGAGTGCCCAAAACTGCAACACAAACCAACTTTTTTATTTCAAAGTGCCAACACTGCAATTAACCACTTGCCTACCTGGACGCATTGACAGACGGCACTGATCGGTGGCACTGCTGGGCATCATTGATGGGTGGCACTGATGGGCAGCACTGATGGGCGACACTGCTGGGCACTGACAGGTGGCACTGCTGGGCAGCACTGACAGGTGGCACTGCTGGGCAGCACTGACAGGCGACACTGCTGGGCACTGATGGGTGACACTGCTGGGCACTGATGGGTGACACTGCTGGGCATCATTGATGGGTGGCACTGATGGGCAGCACTGATGGGCGATACTGCTGGGCACTGACATGTGGCACTGCTGGGCACTGATGGATGACACTGCAAGCAATCTCACCTCTGGCAGCGTCGGTGTGGCTTCCAACCCAGCAGCTCATTCCCATCCACGCTGAACACGTTGCCCCTGGCCCCGGAGCAGTGTGGGAGCAGTGTGGGAGCCTCTTCCTCTCTTCCGCGCGCCCATCCCCGGGTACATCACCCCTGGTGCCAGAGCCGCATTGGAGCCGTTTCCTCTCGTCCACGCCCACCCCTGGCCCCAGAGACATGTGGAAAATGTAGTTTGATGGGGATCCAGTGTGGACGAGATCTGGATGGCCGGTCCATGCGCGCTCATCATCCTCTTCTTCCTGGCGTGCCCACTGAGATGGCTCTGCGTGCCAGCTCTGGCACGCGTGCCATAGGTTCGCCATCACTGGTCTAGGTGCTTGATTTTATACACCTGTGGCCATGGAGGTGATTGGAATACCTGAATACAATGATTTGGAGGGGTGTCCCAATACTTTTGGTAATATAGTGTCTGTGTGTACACACACACACACACACACACACACACACAACACATACACATATATATACATACACACAGTATATACAGAACATACATTTTTGTATATACACTTGTTGGATTCAATAAGGGTGCTTTCACACTGAGGACTTTTTGAAGCTCCTTTCCATTACAAAAAGTACATGAAAAGCTCAAGAAGAATGCTTCCCTATGTATGTGAATGTATATCTATGTATGTTTTCACACTGAGGCATTGCGCTTGCGGTGCAGTCTAAAAATGTCCCCAACACACCTCTTCCCATTGAAATAAATAGAAAGCGCCTGAAAAATGCCTAAAGAGCACCAGAAAAATGCCTCTGAGAAGTGTTTTTGGTGCAGTTTTAAAGTCACGTGTCCTTTAAAAATACTCATAAAGCACGGCAAAAGTGCAGTAAAAAAAGCCTATGCATTTTTGCTGTTTTTTGCAGCGGATCAGTGTGAAAGTAGCCTTACTACTGCACTTTTTGTGACTTTAAAAGTAGCACTGAAGGCCTTTTTTTGTGTATTTTCTTTTTACAATGTAAGTTATACATTTTACTGTACGTATTCATTTTCTATACATTTATTGTACCCATTTATGGGAGATCTGGTGCTGCATTGTTTTTTATTTTATTTTTTGATTATACAGTGGGATAAGATAATCCAGCTGCTTTGGGGAATAATTGGGCAGGTAAGCACAGGTACATTTTTGTGACTATATAAAAATGATCACACAGACTACATTACAGGGCTTTTCCTACGTTCGAAAAGTCAAGCAATCTGGCAATTATTTCTAAGTGAGATGTATAAAGAAGGGCATCCCGGAAGCATCTGGTCAATTTAATAGTGTTGTTTTATTGAAGACCTGTTTAGTAGGTACGGTGCCATCTGGCTTCCAATCAGGTGCTAAGCTTTCATTATCCTCAGCCATGAATGGGTGCAATTTGGAAAACAAATTATAGTGTGACCCCCCCTTCCCCCCTCCCTTCCTGCCTGCCTCCAAGTGCAACCCATAGAACAACAATATAAAGCACCTGTTAGCGAATTGTGATGAAACTTAAACTGGCTTTGGAGAAATTAAACAACCTATTAACCCATTTTAAACCTGCTGGATGCAACTAGCACTGTTATTTTGTCATCTGACACCAATACACACATTTTAATACTATATGGACATCTGTACCCAATGTAAAGAATGACATGGAAATGCCAGAGGGAACCACTCTCAAGTCTGGTGTGTCTACAAATGCAGAAAATGATAAACAAAATTTAGAAAATGGGCAATTTTGTCCCAATATTCTATATGTTCAAACAAGTATTAAGATACGCCAGTATTGGACAAAAATGTATAAAAGTTAAAGCCTAGTACACACAATCAGAAAATCGTACAAAAAATACCTGCTTTCAAAGCAATAACCTGATCGTTAACAGCTTTCATCCGAAATTATTTGAAGGGACAAGCACAAAAGTTTTCCTTGTACGATACCTGATCGTACAATTTTCATTTAATCGTACAGTTTTCATCCAAAAATACAATACATTACATCACTTCTGAATTTTCTTTCATAACTTTAGCAACCTCTTCACTTTTGATCATATGGGTCTAGCATGCAAAAAAAAAAAAAACGGACGACCATTCGTCTGATATTCTCATTGTGTGTACGGGGCTCTAGGCTGGCCTTAATGGACAGACCAAATGGTCTGACTGTCTGACAATGTGTCCCTTAAAACTGACTCATTTGGATGTTACACTCATTTGGGACACCCTAGTCATTATAATGCTCATCACACAATCTAGTCCAAAAATGCCAGATCATGAGACTGTAATGTAATATTTATGGACACCTCAAATGATCATGTCCATGGCAAAGTCAGGGGCAGCACAGTGGCTAAATGGTTAGCACTTCCACCTGGCAGTACTAGGGTTGCTGGTTCGAATCCCAACCCCAGCACCACCTGCCTGGAGTTTGCATGTTCTCCTCTGTGACTGTTCTCCCTCCGGGTACTCTGGTTTCCTCCCACACTCCAAAGACATGCTGGTAGGTTAATTGGATCCTGTCTAAATTGTCTCTAGTATATGTATGTATGAATGTAAGTTAGGGACCTTAGATTGTACACTCCTTGAGTGTTAGGGACTGATGTGAATGTTCAATATATATGTAAAACGCTGTGTAAATTGACCTGAAATAAATAAATAAGTGACAGGTTCTTCTGCTATTTACTTCCCCACTCCTCCGTGTAATCCCAGTTAGGGTTAAAAGCTAAAAGCCGAGTGTAGGATCCATGGTGGATCACACACAGGGCTAATAATCTGACCTTTTGTAAAAATGCTAAAGCTTGGAAATTGGTTGCTTAGCTGATGAGCACTGCAATGTGCAAGGAAATTGAGAAAATTGCACGTTCTCCCGTACCCAGAAGTACCAGGTATTTGCAGAGGCTCTGTCAAACAAAGCTGTAGGGAAGCTCAGTGAAGGTAAATGTCATTAACTGCCTTCCGCCTGCCGTATAAGGAAATCACAGATGGAGGATGTCATATCATGTCCTCCCACTCTAGCCACGCATGCGCACCCCTGGTGGCACACGGCGATCGCTGGTGAACTGTGTCCCTTGGACACAGCCCATCATCGATTGAGGTAAAGAGCCACTGGCCGCGGCCCTTTACCACGTGTCCAATCACAGCCAGTTACAAACGTAAACACAGAATGGTAACTCGCTGTTACCAGCTTCCTCTCCTGACACACAGATTTTGTGTGGGGAAAGAAAACGGTTCTGTACAGTTACAGTTCTGTACAGTGCATACACACACAGTTCACAGTCCCCATTACAGTGACCATCAGTGCACCTGTCACCCATCAGTGTACCTGTCACCCATCAGTGCCCATCAGCAGTGCACCTGCCGCCCATTAGTGCACCCATCGCCCATCAGTGTACCTGTCACCCATCAGTGCCCATCAGCAGTGCACCTGTTGCCCATCAGTGTACCCGTCACCCATCAACAGTGCACTGGTCGCCCATCAGTGCCCATCAGCAGTGCACTTGTCGCCCATCAGTCTGCCATTAGCAGTGCACCTGTCACCCATCAGTGCCCAGCAGTGTAGCTGTCGCCCATCAGTGCCAGTCAGCAGTTCACCTGTCACCCATCAGTGCCAATCAGCAGTGCACCTGTCACACATCGTCCATTAGTGCCACCATCAGCAGAGTACCATCACCACACAACCACATCATCAGCCACCATCATCAGAGTACTGTCACACAGCCACCATCATCAGAGTACTGTCACACACACCCACCATCAGCAGGGTACCTGTCCTACAGCCACCATCAGCAGTCTACCTGTCCCAGAGCCAGACATGTAAAAAAAAATTTACACTAGTGAGGAGGCGTTCAGATTCCTAAGTATTATGGATGAGAGTAGCAGGGAGCTCTCACGGTCTGATTCTGATCCAGTGTATGAACCAATCGAAAGTAGTGGATCAGCGACTGAATCAGAGGAGGAAAGGGTCCCTCCTAAAAGGATACGGTGCTCTGAAAACCAGGCAGCCACCAGCAGCACCATACACCCCACTGGTCAATTGGCAAATGCCAATGGCACTGGACCCACGGATGAAAGGCCCGGTACTAGCATTGAAATATCCCATCAACCCCCAAAGAATCAGGGCCCAAACATACCTCCCAGATGCTCTTGACAACCAATTATGGCTGCCCTCCAACTTAGGATCAGCAAGCATTCCCCCTTTCACCACACAGCCAGGTGTGCAGGCTAACACTGAAAATGTTTCAGAAATCAATTTTTTTTGCCCGAGAGTTTACTTCATTTTCTTATGGAGCAGACAAATTTTTTTGCCCAACAATTCATTACTAACAACCCTAGTCCATCCTATGCCAATCCATTTGAATGGAGACCTCTTACATTGGAGGACTTTAAGCTATTTTTGGGCCTCACCTTTAACATGGAGCTTACAAAAAAAAAAATGAAGGAAATGCTCACTGTTCCACACACCCAATCCACCACATGCCCATTTATTCTGCTGTAATGTTCAGGTCATGCTATGAGATGATCATGCGATTCCTTCATTTCAGTGACAATACCCAGTGCCTTCCCCTAGATCAC